TAATAAAGACACTATTTGTATTCATTAACTCCTTGTTTATATGCGTATGCTGTTTTAATTCCAATGGTTATCTTTATATACTATTTTGTTAGTCACTGCTAGTAAATAAGCTGACCACAAAATTTTTGTGCAGGTCCACCAACTTTCTGAAGTTGGTGGTCCTGCTGTCCACTAGATTTTCAGCCGAAATTCGAACCCTGCGGTGCCGGGCTCGACAAACCCGCTTGCCCGATGGCCCAGGGCAACCAAAATTCGCTCCGGGGCAGGTAGCTTGAAATTGCACTTCCCTGTTCGGGCAAGTAAGTTTTTTTATTGAATGGCTAGACATAACGAGATATGAATTAAAAAACAATGCGAATGAGACAATCAATGCATGCAGTCATACTTTGTACACAACACGCATACAGCAACATGTAAACCCGGCCTCCGTGATTTTGTCACCATTAGGAATAATTTGTGACCTCGTCGATTTCGCCAAAGCATAATCTTGACTTTTGTTTGGGAAACACCTTTACGATAATTAGACACAATTTCTGGCTTCTGAGACATTATTAGAGTCAGTGCATCAAAGTTATGAAAATTTTAACAAAATCATGCTATGAAAAAGTAGCTCTGGTCAAGCTTAAAATAGCTCCCGTAAACAAAATTACGAGAGCTCTTTTTTTCATACAAAATCAAAAAAGAGCTCTCGTAATAAAAAAAGTATTTTTTAGGCTGCTGGATAGCATGCTGCAATGTTAGTAGCATGGTTGTTTATAACGGAGGTTGACGCAAATGCACGTGTAGTTTCAGCATACTGGAAGTAACTCGTCGCTCGTGCGAGTAACTCGGAATGCTTGCAGGCGATGCCTTGCCAGGGGATTTCAGCCCCTGAATATGTATGTTCTATAGTGATATAGTTATGATATCACTATATATATATATATATACTAAGTGCTTTATTGTGGTTTGACGTTCAAGCTACTTTTGACAGTCAATTATATTTTTTCTGGAGGAGAGACATGGTGCTGAATGCTTTTGAATAAACTGTATCCAAAAATTGTTCTAATTCAACATTTAGAAATACTTATAATAAATTAAAATGTCATTTACACAGTAAACGGTACCACAAATAGTTAACCAAAAATATGTTAGGTTGAATCATTCAGTTTCTGGTGTCACCCATATCAGCACTAGTATAACAGTAGTGTAAGGAGAGACATTATAGTAGGCCGGGTGGCATCTTTGCAAATGCCGTGCACGCTCTTTATGCGTTTATTTGGTTTCTGCTTATGGATGTACTAGCTGGGCTACCCGGCGATGCCCTGGATTAAAGAGCTAGAATTTAGTCTGCTATGACGGCTGTACTGATCTTATTCGGATTTTATAAATCTGTGCCAAGAATTTCACTTCTGGTCAGTTCTGCAGCGCTTCTTGGTACACAACATTCTTGGTCTTGCCATCTTGAGAGAGGATGTAGAGGTTGTCTGGGTTACCCACCCTGGAGCACCCCACATAGAGCTGGCCATGGGAGAACACTGGCTCACTGAGGTTGAGTCCAACCACCTTGGCCTTGTTGATGGACATGGCACAGCTTAGCTTGATTGGAAACTGCAGCCTCTTGAACTGAAATGGCA